TTATTTTCGCGCATTTATTTTATGTCGTTTATTATAATTATGTAATTCTCCCAAAGCGTTGTAACAATTATACTTTTCGCACTTTTATTTAATTTCTTTATTTTCTTGTCAAATCGGGTCCGGTTTAATTTTGGCGATGTGGACCCGCGCCATTTGTAATAGTCTTAGATTTACTTTTCCCGCAACTTTTAACTGTTAACAAAAGCATGAAAGAATGTATGGACTTAAAATAAAATCAAGCGTAGAACACCAATAAACATGACAAGACAAACATCAATGAAAACGACACACAATTCGCACACACCACCCCTAGGGTACGCCTCACTGTTGCCTTACCTTTCGAAAGGTGATCGTCGAGTAGAGGATGTCTTAGTAAGTCCTCATGATCCGGGAACCTGGCATGAGGGTAGCTTCTAAGGTGTCTTCCCATTGCTCTGGTGATCACCATGTCCCTATAAACTCGAATTGACCCGAACACCTCCAACGGTGGTGCTACCTACCTCTCAATGGTGGGATGGCACTACTTTAAAGGACATTTACACAGACGAATTCCTTAGGGTAGGTAGGTTCTCACGGATACTTGCTCTAATTTCAAAACAAACTGAAATCTTTTCACACCAACACTTTTCAAAAGCTTTCAAAACAATTTTTCAAACACTCTGACGTACGAGTCGAACTGAAATTTTCAAAGAAACTTTTTAAAACCCACAATTGAAAAGCAAACAAACCATTTTGAAAACACAAATGAGCAAGTATCTAAGAGCCCATGGATAACCATGGATAGAAAGGGTGCTAACACCTTCCCTTTCTATAACCTACCTTCCGAACCGAGAGCAATCTCTATAAGGAATTTTTCTGTGCTTTTGTCCTTTCCATTTGGAGAAAATAAAAGACGGTGGCGACTCTTGCTTCCGCGACATTTCGCGAACCAGCGTTAAACAGTCAGTTCCAGATCCACCGATCACACATCATCATATACATAACCTTCATTAGGTCAGCTAACACATCATGCATCATTAATCAATAATTTGGCATGGGATCAATGATATTGTGGAATTAGGGTCTCTATGGCTTTGTTGGTTCACATCTTTACTCAGGCTTGAATCAGTTGGTTTCCCAATAATTATGGTTTGTGGAACTAGGGTTTGGATTCTCGATTATTGGGAACTTCTCCCCCATCAAGCTACAAGGCTGTCACCATCAGCTAAGGATCTTATTAAGTTGATGTTTTGGTTCTGGTTAATATCTCAAGAGGTTTCTTCATTCAAAAGGCACCCAAGTCGAGAGGATTATGGTTTCTTATTCATGGAGTTTTGAGCTTGCAATACCCATCAACTGAGTTTCATTGGATGTTCATGAAGGAAAATTGCGATCAAAAGCGCAGCAGAATTTAAAATTTTCCTTTAGCGATCCTTACGAATGAACATGGTCAGTGATAGAAATATTTACCTCTTGTGGCGATTCAGACCTTTGATGTTGTGATCACGAGCGTTGATGAAGAACAACGCCTCTACTCAGTCCACACGAACAAATCGCTTCCGGTCACAGTGCTAGCTGATCACAAACGGAAACCCTGAGTGAGAGAGAGAATCAAAAACGAAATTGCATCAAGTGAAATTGCTTCATCACAAGGGATCTATTTATAGAATCACTCGTGTGGGCTACAAGCTAAAAGCCCAATTAAGGCTATAAGATAAAAGCCCAATTAAGCTTATGGACATCATACCTTATGATGTACCATATATCACTTATCCACGTGGTACCTTACCACTTTCCGTATTACACTTAAGTGCATCGTACCTTACGGTGTTCCTTATTTATTCTATCTCTCATCAACCTGTCCTTATGTGTGTGACCCTGTAGGTTTTCGCGACGTTGGCAATTATATTAAATCACACATTTAATATAATAAACAGTGAGCGGTATCTAGCAACACATCACTGTTACCCAAGTCACGAAAATGTCATGTGATCTGACCAAACCTTTTCCGTGATAATATTTGTGTTGTACAATTACCCTTTTACCCTCATGTCTATATTGAACACAAGGCATACACTGTGTCACCCTTGTCCAGTTCAATATTTGGGCCCTTAGACATTTATCCTGTTATGCAGGATGAGCAAATTCCATCTAGGTCACTCATGTCCCTTAGCATGCTTTGTGAAGTACCCATCAACCGTCTTTATAGTCATCCAGTTACGGATGACGTTTGATCAGCAATAAAGTACTTGACTCTACATCTAAGGTCCATAGTGGTTTCAGGTCGAAGGGTGGTATACACCATTATCATCATGAGAATAACTTATGACACTTTGCATAACATTCTATGTAGTATTCTCATAGCGGGTCAATCCAGTATAAATATTACTCCTAATATTCATACCTATGTCAACACTTGATAACTCCTTATCTATGATCCATGAGATGTGATCATCAATCTATCTTCATAATAATCTTAATGCTTTAATGTTATCCCACTTCACATTAAAGCTTGACTACGGATACTTTAAGAATAGTTTCTTATGTCTAATGGGATCTCATGATTAAGTCACACTTAACATTTCATTAAACCAATAAACCATTCTAGGGACTTTATTATTTTGGAAAGCAAACATAATAAAGAAATGCCTTTTATTATTAATAAATAATTCGATACAAGTACCAAAAGTATTGGCCTCTAGGGCTTACACCAACAGTTCATGTCAAAGCTATCCTGGTCATATATACTTCCATATTCACTTCTCGATGGTTCTTTAAGGCATTAATATGGTATTGGTTGTCAAGTCAAGGGTTTGTGAATTGAATGGTAATTTGGAATTGGAATTTAAGGTCTCAAGGTGATTTGAACTTTTCATTGGGATTTGGAATTATGGAATTGTAAAGATGATCAAAGTTTTTTAAGTACGGGTAATTCATTCATGGTTTATCTTGAAATCAAAGAACAAGTCATAAGCTTCAATCCAAATTTTTAAGACATGGTCATTCAAGAACATTCAAGGTTCATTCAAATTTCCACCAAGTATTAAAAGAGATTCAATAGTCATCAGGATTCAAGCAATTTCATCATACAAGCCAAGTATATCACCTACTCTATCACAACATCACCATCTCAAAGTTTCCAAAAGTCATGGCTATTTACACCATAAATCATTACATCATTTCAAGTATTTTCCAAGGTTACATTCCTGTCATACTTTAATACATCAGGAAAAAATTACAAGAAAGCATTAAATATGAACCTAAGTGCCTAAGTCTTCCATCTTCATCACCAAGCATCATCTTCAATCTTATTCAAGCCACGACCCTAGTTTAACCTTGCTTCATCCATAATCTTCATTGCAAACTTCATGTCCATGCCTTCTTCTTCACGTTATGTCTCTCCAAACTCTTTGCCGACTTCAATCATCCATACCTTCAAAACTGCTCTGATTTGCCTTGGCGCCAACTTGTACAATCAATGTTATAATTTTCTCATTCACATATACAGACCAAGCATCAATGCATACATATTGTCTACAAGCCTGCAGACCATTTGAAATCTACAACAAACAGCCCTGCATCCGCAAAAGTCGACACTATATCCACAAATAAGTCCTTGTACTAACTGACAGCCCTGCATTAGTTTAAAAAAAATCAGAAAATATACTAACAGTTGACAGTTATCAACCTAAAAAATCATTGTGCATGCATACATCCCTTACAAATTGAATTCACAACAATCAAAACAAAATTTCTAACAACAGAACCCCACTAACTGAATCAAAAATTGTCAAAGATGACAAAACAGAATTCCAACTACTAAACAGAACCAACAACCAAACAGTTTTCTAAACAGTTGTTTCTAATTTACAGCCCATTCCAAACAGCCTTATAACAGATTCCAACAATCCCAGCCAACTTCCAAAAACTGTCAAAACCAAATCTTCTAACCATTTTCCAGATAACTACCTAACCATTTTTCCTAACTGAATCACCTAACTGCTTCTAAAAAACTTCTAGCAGACATCTATAACATAAAAGTAACAAAATCATACAAATATATACAGAAAACTAACTACCATAAATAGAAAATTAACAGAATTTCCAAAACAAATTTCTAACTCCCTTTCCTAACTGAAACAGTTTCTAACCTTCTAACAGCCTAACAGAATCCAAAACCATAAACATTTTCCAACTAACCTATAACCACCTAACTAATTCCCAGTAGAATCTCAACAAACTCCAGCTAACTTCCAACCAACATTCCAAACAAAAACAAATCTCTAACTGATTTTCTAACCCCTAACCCATTTTTATTTCATCTAACAGATTCTTAACAGATTCTAACAGCAATAACAGAATAGATAAATAGAAACTTATCTCTTTCATCTTCATTCTTCAATCAACTGAAGGATCACCAAAGAAAAAACTCTCAATTCTCTCTGCAATCTCCATGTTCTTTCTAATTCAATCATCATCAGCACCACTGATTCAACATCACCATTCACCTTCACAACATAACAATGAACTCCTCTTCAATCTTCAACAGTTTTCACCATCAACCTATCAACATGCATTGCAACTTCAGTTGATCCGCAACCGCTTTAAGAACCTCTTCACACATCTTCATCGCTTCCTGCATACGAGTTCTCTGATATCAACAACAACGCAACAATGCAACTGAGTCGAACGAAGTACTCAGAGATCATAAATTGCAGAAGAAGAACGCACACATAAGGGGAATATTAAAACCAAGGCCGCATACCTGAATCACATTTTAAGTACCTTCGGAGTGACTCTGACATGTAAGATTATTTCTTCTCTCATCATTTTTTTTCGCATATACGCCACCGCCGTTGTGCTTTGAATCGCGATTGAGGCATGAAATAGAGGTTGAGAATCATGGTTTAAACAAATATTAAGCAAAACTTGACAAATCTTCGAATCACAGGGGCGAATTGAGACGAAGATTGATGGAGGAGTTGAATCATCGAGGTTGTTGGATTTTGAAACAGAGAACGATGATGAGAACAGAGAGGTTGAAAAAAGGTACAAGATCGGAGGAAAGTCTCTGAGATCCATTTACGAGGGAGAAGAGAATGAAAGAGGCGGAACATCGAGATGATGAACTGCGGCAGATGAGATTCGTTGATCAGAGAGAAAGAGATTGGTCGTTGCGCCATTGGAGAGAGAAGGTGTTGAGGAGAGAGGTTGAGTTTCACGATGAAGTTCAATAGACACAAACTTGAACCCTAATTACATTCTTTTTCCATTTTTAATTTCTTTTTTTATATTTTGTTACATTTTTTATTCATGCTGATAATTGGAAGAGATGTATGGACTAGGCATTAATTTCGTTGGGCCTATCCTGAAGCCTAATCCACACAGATTTTTGTGAACCTGGACAATTGAAAAAAAACTATTGCTGGATCTTCTGCTTAGGCCTATGCGCCAGCTTTCACAACAAGGACACATTCCTTGGGCCAAAAGACTAGGGCATCACCCAGATTGCTTCTTCATAGAGTTTGTTTAGGCTTTTCACCCCCTGAGCTCACTAATTCTCTATTAGATTTAGGACTTTTTCTTTGTTAATTTTTCCTATGACAAAATTATAAAATCAATAAAATTTGTTAGACCCCTTTAATTGATCTTAGAAATTATTTCTTTAATTAATTTTTTTAGAATTTTTCTTATATAAAAACCAACAATAAAATACTATTTCTTTTAGTTTTATCCATATTTACATACCGTCGTGTCTCGTTATTTTGATGCGTTTGTTCATTGTGCAGGGTGCGTTCTTTTTGCTTTCGATTATCTAACATAACAAGTAGTTAGGTGATCGAAGAATACGACTTATGCTCGCTTCTGATGCGACGCACTTTATTTCTCATCGTCTTGAGAAATTCATATCATACTATATGTTGTCCTGATACATGTGATATTTTGTGATACTTTGCACAGAAACTTCTGATTATGCATCGCATTCGCAACATGCGTTTACCTTTATCTTAGTTTGATATTGTTTTTGACTCTGTTTGTTTCTTGGTGAAGCTTGCTCGACGCGTGCTCCCTGCTTCTTCAGTGCTTCCGTTTGCTCTTGACGACTTGCTCGCTTTGGTAGTCACCGCTACTACCTTCGTATTTCTTTGCGCTTTATTATGCTTACTTACTGCTTTTCTAGATACCATGAGAAGTAGGAAATAAAGAGCGTGCGCTCGAAGTCGATGTTTAAAGACCTGTAGCAGGCATTCCGCACTTCATTTGCTATATGTGTTGTGCTTGTGTTTGTTTCCTTGGTTGTTGATCGATGAGTCACTCAATTTAGGAATTAAGATCACGACTTCGCTTTCAGTGCATGCTCCCTATAGGATTTTATCGCTTTCCTTTATTTCTTGTTGATCGATGAGTCACTCAATTTAGAAATTGAGATCACGACTTCGCTCTCATTGCATGTTCCTTGTAGGATAGTTTTGTTGGACTTTCTTTTGCATGCTAACATTAGGTAGACGTTTCCCATTCGTTCATCCTTGACTTAGGGCTACCATTTTATGATAACATTAGGTTAGAAATAGGCTAGTCTCCCTTAGACTCTTTTCTTCCCCTTTTTGCATCCTTGCATCTAAAACAAAAACTCATTTTCTTAGCAAATCATAAAACATACTAACAACACTTAAACCCTTTTTCAAGGTAATAAAACACAAACCAATTCAAACCATTTTGTGCGTTCGAGCACCATTTCTCTAAAATCCTTTTCAGGTAAGGACATGTTTAGTTTACTTCTGTGCCAACGCATAAGTCTTCAAAGGTCGAGCTGCGGCAGAAGGCGGAATTAACTTCATCCATAAAAAACACAAAACAAACAAAAACATGTGAGCCGAACTACGGTAGCTCTGATTCCTCAAGAAGGATATGTAGGCATTGAGGTAGGGCCAAAGCGAGCATAATTTTATTTTCCCTACATTATTTTTCCCCTTTCTTTTGCATGCATTCTCCCTCCAGTAGTATAGTAAACAGTAAGCATAGATTAAACACACCCATAAGATAGATAACAAGAGTGGATACCATAGAGTACTACGGGCGTGTGGGGTGCTAATACCTTCCTCTCGCGTAACAGACTCTCTTATCCGATCTCTCGGTCGCAAGACCGTGACTTCTCCTTTCTCAGGTTTTCTCGATGTTTACATTTCCCTACATGTGGGATAAAAGACGTTCGATGACGACTTTATTGTTTGATGATTTTCAGCTGGTTGTTTCAGTGCTTAACAAAGTTCTTTGTTTCAAATTCGAGTTAAGAAAGACATATTTAATTTCAATCACATACACAGTTATAGAAGGATGTTGGTGGCGTCTTAACCGTTGATCCGAATATATACCCGAAAGCAGAATTGTTTTTGTATAAGCTATATGAAATAGTCTCACGAGTACCTGTACTGATGTCTATGATTCATTAGATAAGTATGTGGAAGTGGAAATACTTGAGAGTTAGCAGTATGGTTTACAGGTGAAATGTATAACCATGCATTCTCTTATGTTACTCTTTTCCTAACCTTTAATTGTTGTTGTAAAATCAGACCCAGTTTATTGTGATGGGAAGATTTGATTTGAACATTAATTTGTATTATTTTATGTTACTGATTCCACCTAATGGAATGACCTTTGAAATTCATATGAATAAGTAGTAATTGTTTGGATGCCGATTGCCTGATTGTTCAATTATTATCTTTACGGTTGCATGACGCTTTCAAAACTGCAGGCACCGAGGTTTCCGAGAAAGGAATTATTGAAACATTTCATACTGAGGAGGAAGCACTTGATGCCGCAGACAATGAGGGTTTTTGTATGTACTGTAATTTGTAGTCATGTGCTTTTGAGTTTTATAAAACCTATTATGTATCTTTAGATAATGGATTTAATTGTATAGGCTGCGGATGTTTCCCACTTTGGATAAGAGGTACTTACTTTTTCACATTTGGGCAATTGGGAGAATTTCTCCTTAACAGGATTTAATGTTTTCTTAATTTTTAACACAAATATTTTAGATAACTCAAAATACAGTCAGTGGAGATGACGGTTTTCAGTTCCTTCACAATCATTTGTTTAGTTATAACTGCATCAGATAATAAATTTGGTTAGCTTAGGTGAAAATAAAATAATAGTTAATTATTTTGGGTCTTAATAAATTGTTCACTGTATTTTGTTTCAAACATTTTTTTCTTTGTATGGACCTAATAGATACAAACTCCATTAGTATATATATAACATCTTCTTCTTTCAAACATCTTGTCCGACTCTAACCCCTCAATTCTTTGGCATATTCCCATAAGAAGGTTGATTCCATTTCAAATGTTCTGAGTATAGTGGATGTTTGGTTCGATATTGAAAATCTACAACTTTTAAATCTGATGTAAGTATTTATTGATTGGAACACCACACCAAATTGTCATTTTATTACTCCTTTCTAACCTTCAATCTCCAATAACCATTGTTTCTACATATAATGTAACTCCTATGAAGGTACTGGCTATTGAACTTTTCACTTGACTTGCACTCTGATTCATCAAAAAAGTAAAGAATTTTTACTTGATTGGTTTGCAGGATTTTCTTTTTTCTATTTGATGAAAAGCACTAGTGTTGCAGTACAAGAAAATACAACAATAGGTCACATAGAAGGCCAAACAACAGCCTTCCTTGATCACAACAGAAGTACATAAGTTGCTGTTATAATACCAGAACTGGAAAAAAAACAAGTGCCTGCACCAGAATAACAAGAATAGCTTGACTAAAACACTCTGAAACCAAAAACTAAAAGATGCTGCACAGATGAAATTATGAAACTGCCACCAAGGAAAAGACCGAGACGACGACACACCGACATACATAAAACCAACGCAACGCTGAACCGAAGGACCCCCAAGATTTCCAGCCAATATCATTGACACTTATGGTGGATGGGGTGCACATGGTGGTGGTGCTTTATCTAGAAAGGACCCATCTAAGGTTGATAGGAGTGGAGCTTACATTGTGAGGCAGGCTGCTAAGAGCATTGTTGCAAGTGGACTTGCAAGGAGAGCCATTCTGCAAGTCACATATGCTATTGGCGTGCCTGAATCTTTGTTTATCTTTGTTGACACATATGGAACAGGGAAGATACCTGTTGGAACATGTCCATGTTCCAATATGATGAATTTAAAAATTTCTCAAGTCCCACAATGTTAGAATATCTTTTTGGTTGAAAAAAAACCCATTTAGTCTCACATTGCTCGTGTGAGAAATATTAACTACCTTACTTCACTATATAAGGAGTGCACATGTTTCATTCCAAATCACATCAAAAACTATTCTATTAGTTTTTCCTTCCTCACTCTCATAACCATGTGTCTCTCGAATTGTCGAAGCGTCATCTTCTTTCCCTTTCTTCCTACTCGTTGAATTTTTCGAGTATTTTCTTGAATTCTCTTTAAAGAATTATGTTAATTTCTCCTCATTTGAGTTGATAAATTTTCAAGTTTAATCTTTTAGTTTCTCTTTGGAGAATTATTTGAATTTCTCTTTGATGGAGAAATTATTATAAGTGGTCAAATGACGATTATTAATTTCTCTTTAGAGAATTATTTGAGTTTTTTTTTGTTTGAGAAATTATTATGACTAGTCTTTGTACCAGATATTATGAGTGGTGTTGATACCATATTTGAATGGTCTTGTACCATTAGAGGGTGTATTTCTAGACTGATTATCTACTATGCAAATAGTAATCATACAATATAGAACTGGGTTGTTTTATCTTGGAGGCGGCGCGGTAGTTCGACTGCTTTGCATAATTTTGAACAATGTCGCGGAACGTCTTAAAGAGAGCGACTTAGTCCGCGACTCAACCTGGTAATTTCTTCGGTGACAAATATTTCAAAATCTGAAAACAACAATTTTAAGACGTTTCAAACTGCCATGGCTACCGAAGAAATTATTGGTTCTTTTGCGGATATTGTCTTTGAGAAATCATTCATGTTTGAGGGAAGTCACTTCAAACGTTGGCAACAAAAGATGAAGTTCTTAACGTTGAAAAAAAAGTTGCTAACATTCTGATCGATGACATTCGGTTGCTTCTTCTGGATCAATCGAACAAACTAACGGTAGTAAATATGGAGATTTAGAAGGAACACTTAATAGTGTTGAAGTTGAATTTGCTGCACCGACTAAAGCGAATGATTTATAGCATAGAAAAGAAATCACCTTAGAGAAAGAGAATATAAATCTCTACAAAATCATATTTTGAATAGACTCGCAGATGATCTGTATGATCATTACAGGTGATGTGATACTGCAAAACAAGATCGAGAGACTCAGAAAAAAGAAGTATGACGTAGAAGCTCGAGCAAAGAAGTATGTTATTAGCCGCTACTTCAAGTATCAAATGCAAAGATGTAAGATCAATGGAGGCTCAATGTTACGAACTTCAAATGATTGCTTAAAAAATCATTACAAAAGGTATGTGTTTAAATGAACAATTTCAAATTGGTTTTATTATTGACAAACTACTCCATAGTTTGAATGTTTTAAAAAAAAGGAATCTTAGAGACAATATCAAAAAGAAAAAATCTTGGTTGTTTCAAACAACAAAAAGAAACTCGGTGTAGTTCTGAAGCCATTTGGAAAATGATTAAAGAATCAGAACTGCAATATTATGAATTGAATTAAGAATGGAAACCCTTATATGATCCCAATAGCTCCAACTTGGAAACAACCACCACCTAAAAAAATGATGTTGGTTTCCCTTTGTTTTAACTATGGAAAATCAAGTCATATGACTAAGAAATGTAGAAGTAAGATTGAACTTGGTGTTGTCCCTAATGCACAGGTCAACCTAACTAATGGGCAATTTATTTCTATAGTCATTGAAATCAACATGGTTGATGGATATATTGGTTGGTGGATAGACACATGTGTCTCTCGTTATGTCTGTTATGATCATGTTATGTTTAAAACATACACGAATACTAAAGATAAGAAAGTGTTATTGGGAGATGGCCAGACCACGAATGTTGTTGGAATTGTAGACATGGAGCTAAATTTCACCTTCAAAAAGACTTTAATCTTAAAGAACATTATGCATGTTCCTAAGATTAGAAAGAATATTTTTTCTGGTTTTTTTTAAATAAGATAGGGTTTAGTCACTCTATTGGGGTAGGTTTGTACGTCATTACAAAGAATGAAGTTTATATGTTTAAATGTTTTGTAAAGAATTTGAAAATGATATAATAAGAATTTGTAGTGATAGAGAAACTGTATGATTCTAGTTTATTAATGAATTTTATACATGTAATTGTACATGAAATGATTGCACCATACTATCTTGCAATGAATGGTAAAACATAAAAAAAGAATAGAACTCTTACTGAACTTATTGTTGCAATTATGATGAATTTTGGTGTTGCACCTCACTGGTGGGGGAAAATTCATTGACTGTTTGTTATGTCCTGAATAGAGTCCCCAAGTCAAAATGTAAGATCTCCCCTTATGAGATATTAAAGAAAAGACAACCAAACTTGTCTTATTTGAGAACTTGGGGTTGTCAGACTTATGTCAGAATTCCGGATCCGAAACGATTTAAACCCGCTAGTAGAGAATATGAATGTGTTTTCATTCGGTATGCAGCAAACAGTAAAGCATATAGGTTTTATGACCTAAATGAAAAAGTGATCATAGAATCAAATGATGTTGAATTCTATGAAGACAAATTTCCTTTTAAATTAAGAAATAATGGGAGAACACAATCGAGTCACGTTCCTGTGATAAGAAGCACAGAAAACAACGATAATGTAGAAACATAACTTCGACGAAGTAAACGAGTAAGAGTTGCTAAAGACTATGGGTCTGATTATGCGGCTTATAATGTAGAAGAAGATCCAATGAATCTTTAAGAAGCCTTGTCATCTCTGGATGTTGATTTATGGCAAGAAGCTATCAATGATGAGATAGGATCTCTAGAATCTAACAAGACCTGACACTTAGTAGACTTGCCTCCTGGTTACAAAACAATCGGTTGTAAATGGGTTTTGAAAAAAAACTAAAATCTGATGAAACTATTGATAAATACAAGGCTCGCCTAGTTGCCAAGGGTTTTTAGACAAAGAGAAAATATAGATTTCTTCGACACCTTTTATCCTATCACTAGAATTACATCCATTAGGGTACTTATTTCAATAGCTACTATTTATAACTTAATAGTACACCAAATAGATGTTAAAACATTTTTTTTTAAAATGGTGACTTAGAAGAAGAAATCTATATGGAACAACCAGAAGAGTTTGTGATCTATGGACAAGAAAATAAGGTCTGTAAGTTAGATAAGTCTTTGTATGGACTAAAACAAGCTCCTAAGAAATGACATGAAAAATTTGATAACTTAATGATATCAAATGGATATAAAGTGAATGAAAGTGACAATCTATCATATGTCTTTATGTAGACGATCTACTCATATTTGGATCAAACATTCAGACCATTAATGATGTGAAATCATTGTTGTGCAACAACTTTGATATGAAAGACCTCGGAGAAGCGAGTATGATTCTTGGTATCAAGATCACGAGATCCGAGCAAGGAATTTCTTTGGATCAATTACAATATGTGAAAAAGATCTTAAAGAAATATAATTACTTTGACAGTAAACCTGTGAGCACACCAAGTGATCCAAGCGTGAAGTTGTTTAAGAACACTAGTGAAAGTGTTAGACAAACAGAATATGCGAGCATCATTAGAAGTCTTAGGTATTCCATTGATTGTACTAAACCCGACATTGCATATGTTGTGGGATTGTTGTGCGGGTTTACTAGTTGACCGGGTAATGAACATTGACAAGCTATTGAGCAAGTCATACGGTACCTTAAAAGGACCATGAATCTCGGTTTACATTATCAGAGATTTCCTGTTGTACTTGAAGGATACAATGATGCAGATTGGAATACCTTATCAGATGATTCCAAAGCAACTAGTGGCTATGTATTCAACATAGCTAGAGGAGTTGTATCTTGGAAATCAAAGAAACATACTATCCTGAGAATATAGCATTAGCGACTGCTAGTGAAGAAGCAAGTTGGTTAAGATGCTTGCTAACTGATATTCCCTTATGGGAAAAACATATGTCAGTTGTGTTGATCCACTATGATAGTACCGCGACTATTACAAAAATCGAGAACCGTTACTATAATGGTAAAAAACATCAAATTAGAAGAAAGCATAACACTGTTAGAGATTGTATCTCTAAAGAAGCTATAAGAGTGGATCATGTACGCACTGATGAAAATTTAGCAGATCCTTTGACAGAAGGATTAGCTAGAGAGAAAGTCTATAATACATCATATAAGATGGGACTAATGTCTATAGGAAAACGAGTTGCTCATGATGGTAACTTGACCTAAATGACTGGAGATCCCAAGAAATAGGTGCAATGGGTAACAACAAGTTGTGAGTAATATGAGATGATCATGCAAGTAAAGTATGAATCCTGAAGTAATAAGAGGATGAGATGATAGAAACTCTTAATGAGATCTATACTCTGTATGAGGGAGTACCTAGGCTACAGAAGTACTCTTGATAGACTCACCTATGTGATTGTGGAATTTAGGCTGGTTCCTATGGAATTTCGAGGCAGAATTCCTAGAGGCTTCATTAAACTAGGATACACGTGCAAGACCATTAAAGCACGGGCTATTAGAATACACCTTAAGAAAAGGTTGTGTGCGGGTTTGATGTCTGAGATAGAGTTCAAAACATTTGTGTCACTCTTGTTGAATTGAAATCCTACTTGCTATGCAAAGGTTCAAGTCGTAGACACCTTTGTTTATGCACAATCTTAGAATCGTTTGACGTTACTTCTAAAATCAATTTTTTAAATTCAAGTGGGGGATTGTTGGAACATGTCCATGTTCCAATATGTTGAATTTGAAAATTTCTCAAGTCTCACATTGTTAGAATATCTTTTTGGTTGAAAAAAAAATCATTTAGTACCACATTGCTCATGTGAAAAATATTAACTACCTTACTTCACTATATAAGGAGTGCACATGTTTCATTCCAAATCACACCAAAAACTATTCTATTAGTTTTTCCTTCCTCACTCTCATAACTCTGTGTCTCTCGAATTTTCGAAGCGTCATCTTCTTCCCTTTTCTTTCTACTCGTTAAATTTTCTAAGTATTTTCTTGAATTCTCTTTAGAGA